TTTTACATTTAAAGAAAGATGTAAGGTAAAGAAGGCTTTGGTCAGGGCAGAGTTTTTTGCTTTAAATAAATTAGAACTAGAGTATGATCGGATAGATGCGATGTTGTACACTGGTCAGTTGACAGGGCTGGGAACAGAGCAAGGAATAAATGCAAATAGAATGGGTATTTGATGCACTTTAAAAGTATGGAGACTCGAAATGTCAGCATCTATTTCAAGTAACTATGAAGGAATGATCTCCGCTTACTTTGCACAACGGAAATATCGTCTCCTCTCAATCAAGAACGCTGGTGTTCGATCTCTAATGACATCTTTTCTTTGATTTCTTTTTCCTTATTCTCTATCAACGTTCTTTAAAAGAATATGTTTTTCTCGTTTCGTCTTGGACGTCACCATCACTGTTGTTGAGTTACAGATCCGCTGCATTTGTCTTTTCTTTTCCTGCTTTTGGAAAAAAAGGGGGGTTCTAATCAGTTAGTGGACGAATATTCAAATTCGGGATCGGCAAGGTTTGTACAGAAGATCCATAAATACTGAAATGTAAGACGGCAAATGGCCCCCGCCCCGACGGTGTATTTATCCGAGCATCTACGTAATATGTACACAAAGCTTATTTTTTACTTATGTCTTCCTTGTGATTTATTCTCAATCATGGACGAGACCGAAGTAGTCAGAATTGTGGAATCGACTGTTTCAAAGAAGAACGAGAATCTATTAGCGTCTATGAAATCGTTTCTTGATGACTCGATCCTTAAACGAGCTGAAACGTTCGCATGTGGATACCGCAGATTCCCACCTCAAAGAAATCAAGAAGCTTAAGAACCCTTATTCTAGGTTGTTGTATAACGTATTGTTATATGTGCGGTGCTCGGCCGAATCAGCTATAAGAAACCTGATGGTTTTTCTAATTTATGTTGTACTGCGTGGTACATTTCATTTCATTAGCTGCTATCAAAGGAAAAGGTTGTATGATACCAAAATGATTTGAATAAGTCTGAAAAGAGACAGAAAGAATGTTTAGAATAACGTCATATGACTAGCAGATAATAACAAATAAATGAAGTAATTCTTGGAAGAAATTGAGAGTTATGTTACCTTTAAATATACGAGGATATAATTACAGAAGCAAGAAAACGTCCTTAAGTAACATGAACCTTGATAAATATTGGTTTAGTGATAAATGTATTATCATATTTAAGTAAAACGGTCTAAGACAGGGTCACATAGATGAAATGCCATTTTCTGGGATA